GGAGCAATCGGCGCAGCGGCCGGCACCAGGAGGAGGATTGACAGGTGTCTCCGTCCAACTCTGTGCGGTCTGACGTCGTTGCTCATCCTGCTGCCGTCCGAGCTCAAGCGCCAGCTGCGTGCTGGAGAGCTCCTGGAAGTGCCGTCGTTGCGCGCAGTCGAGGGCGTCGCGCTTGGATCGGCCGCCGCGGGACATCCAAGTGTCGCGGCGGCGAACCACGCGGCCACCCTCCCCGGCGGTCGGCCCACGTCGACAGGGCTGTTCTGACTGAACAGGCCAAATCCTGGGGAGACTCTGGCACTGGCAGCGCCGCAGCTGCCGGCGCGGACTGCGGCGGCCGCATAGGACTCGATCCGCGCGGCGCGCTGGCGCCAAGAACTGGAGCAAAAGGCGCGCAGGCCCAGCTCGGCAACTGCGCGTCGGCAGACTGGGCGGGGGCGCGGCGACGCGCGCTGAGCTGGGTTTGTCCCAGCGGAAATGCACCGCCCACTTGCGCCCACCACTGCGGCGTTGTTGGCGGCAGTGGTGCCGCTGAGGCCGCCGGCTGCCAGCGCTGTCGGCGCCCCTGAAGCCGTCGCGGCCGGCGGTTCTTCCCCCGCCGCTGCCCGGCGGCCTGGCGACGCAATCGCCAGAGCCGCCGGCGCGGCAGAGGCTTGCGCACAGCCCACGAGGTCGGCCATCTCCTGTCGCAGTCGTCGTCGCGGTTCGGCCTCGCGCGGCGAGGGCGAGGACGACGGCGACGCCCTTGCCCCAGTTGATCAACGGCGGCGGCCAATGGGTTGCCAGGAGCCGCCCGACGAAGAGCTCGGAGCCGCCGCTGGCGCCGATGGCCGCGGCGCGGGCGCCGCTGGAGCTGGCTGCCCGCAATTCCAAGGGCCAGCGCACTGCCGCGGATAACCATTCCTGGCGCCCGGCCACGGGCCGACAAGTACCGGAGGCGCCCCGAGTAATCACCCCTAGTCATCCAGACCGCAATAGCTCCTGGCACGGGCTGCCGCTCGGAAGGCCCCGGCGGCCCCGGCGGTCGAAGGAATGCATGTGGCGAGGATGCCGATGCGAATGGTGGGGCTGGGGCGTAGACGCCGAATAAGAAAGCGAGCCCTTGTCGGCGGCGCCAGGGGCAATCGCGCACGCGGTGATCCCCGGGGCCCTATTCGCGGCATACGAGACGCACCTCGCACGGACAAATGGGGCTGTCATGGCGGCCCGAACCCGCGCCCGCGGCCCTGACCTTCCCTTTCCCACTGCCCGCGCCCTTTCCGAGGCCCGCGGAGATCTCCCGGAAGTCGTTCTCGCCCAGGGCGGCGATGGAAGTGCGGTTGCCTGTGATTTTGCCCTTGCCCTTCTGCTCGCTGCCACTCCCAGCGCGGCGCGCGGGCTTGCGGCTGTCGCAACTGCGCCAGCGATCTTCGGCGCGCTCGCGCGCCCAGAAGAGTTGCGCACCGCGTTGTTCCCACGGGACTGTCACGTTGCTCGGGGTCGTCGGCAGCTATACTGAATGAACCGGCGGCGTCGGCGCCAGCCCGGGTCGATCTCCGACGCCGGGCGCGCCCCCTGCACCAGCGGTGCCGCGATGAAGGCGCGGACTCGAGACGCGGCCACGGACGGCAAAGGGGGGCTTGGTGCCGATCCCAGCGCGGCGGACCCACGCCGCCCCAGCTCTGCCCCCGCGCGGGCGCACCCACATGGAACGCAAGCCGTTTGGCGGCGCGGGCCGCCGAGACAAGGTTGCCTGGCGATCCCTGAGTCATGCGCCCGAAGCGTCTCAACCGGCCCGTCGCACGGGCGAGCTGTCGAGCGTTCGCGGGGCAGGCCGCGTCGCAGCGCTGCAGGAGCATGGCAAGTTGTATGTTGGACGCGCCAACGGCGGGCAGGAGGAAACTGAGCCCCTCGCAGCCGATCGTGAAATGCCCAGATTGCCGCGCCCTGTCGTGGAGGACGTCGAACCTCGTCGGGAGGTTAACAATGCGATCCCGCGCAGTCGGTTGCAATTTATCAGAGCCGCCACTGCCGAAGCGCGCTCCTCCTCGCCCAGCTGGCCCCATTGTTCGGCCAAGCTGCGCATGAGGAAGGTCATCAGTGGCACTGGGTTTCTGTTGATGGGCCATCCCTGGACCAGGACAGCAGGCGGCCATTCGCCCATGCCGGCAGGGCGCGACGCGACGTAGGCTGCCCGGCCAAACTCGATGAGGTCGGGTTGCGCCACTGATCAGATCATTTCATCGCGCTTCCATCTCTGGAAAGGCGCGCAGGCAAGGTTCTCCGGCGGCTAGGCGCGGAGGTGACGCGCGTCACGTTGCCGCTGCCGCCGCCTGCGCCCACGCAGGCGACGCAGCTCGCGATGGCACACAAGCGCCTCCACCGGTCGTAGAGGTGCTGAAGGCTGGGGGGCCCTCATTCGGCGTCGCAGGAGTTGCCGAAGCACTTGACCCTGATGCGTTCCTCCTCGTCAGCGCAATGGGTTTCTGCTTCTGCCGCGCCGCTGTAATACTCGCGGCACTCGGAGCATCCCGCCACGCAGTCACGCGAATTCTCTTCGTACTCCGCGTGGTCACTGCACGGAGCGCCGACGACGACGACGACGACGACGACGACGACGACGACGACGACGGGGTGTGCACGGCGGCGACGGTGGTGACGACGATGTCGGCGGTACGGCGACCGCACCTGTCCGCCCTCCTGGGAGGGAGGGAAGGATCGAGGAACGAGGAAAATCGAGAACAGTCCAGGCCAATCCAGGACAGAGGGAGGCCGACGACCGAGAACCTGGGAAGATCGAGGGCGTTCCACGAAGATCGAGGTCAATGATCGAGGAAGGACGAGGGTCGAGGTTCTCGGGACGCTGTTGGCCTTCTTGCGGGGGGCCTCTGGGCCTCGGGGCCTCGGGCGGCTGGGTGTTCCCCGACCTCAGCGCTGTCCCGCTCCCGCTGGGGGGAGGGGGCGCTCCTCCTCCATTCGAAAAAGAATCAAGGGGCCCAAAAACACACCAGTAAATACACACAAATAACAGGATTCCCCATATTTTCCATAGTTTCCAGGTGCTTGTCTTCCCCCCACTTCCCATAGTTTCCCATCTTTTCTTGGGAGTCGACGATTCATTGTGTCTGTGTGTTTGCCCTCCTGAAGAAACTAGAGTCAAGTTTGAATGAATAGGACATGGGAGAGGACACGACCATTTTGAGGGGGGCACGTTGCCCCAGGAGAACAGAGGGCATCTGGGACGCGAGATACAAGAGAAGGTACAAGGGCACTCTCGAGTTTCAAGAGTCGACCTGAAAATCAAACTCGACTGCGCCTAAAGATGCGATTGCAAAGATCCGCGCGGATTTATTGGGACGGCGCTTGGAGACCCTCCCTGGCGCGCGGAGCTTGCTAAGACAGGCGCGGGAGGCCCCGCCAGGGGGATCCAGCACCAGAAATCCGCGTGGGCCTGCGCAAATGTTTGGCAGACCTTCGTAATCATGCCGTGCTTCCTGCTTCGATCCTCGTCCTGGTCCAAGACCTCCAGCGTCGTGCCCAGACATCTGACGATGTGTCTTCCTCGATGGCCGTGCTCAATTCGGCCACGTGCACCCCACGCGTCCATATCCACTGCGTCTTGCAGTTTTGCGCTCCCTTCCCCAGAAAACAGTGGCGCAGTGGATGTGCATGAAAGTCTGGCCCCTATAGAGGTTCGACGTCTTATCCACACCCAGTGCGCCTCGGCCTTTTGGCACCTCTTCCAAGAAAGCCCAAGACGCACTGGATAATTATGGAGACAAGTATTGTCCGCACAGGCCACACCGGGGTCGGCGAATCCGAGGGGCATGGCTTGCCCAGGGTGTGGTCTGCAACCAGCACCCTTGGGGTCACCCTGTGGGGTGAGCAGGGACCTCGATAGAGTTCCCCACCGCGCCCCGAGCAGGCCGCCGACGAGGACAGCCCAAACAGCGCCGATCGCAAACCACACTCCTGCGTACGGCCGGACCTGGGACAGAAGGACATCCCTCGAGAACACGGGACCCTCCGCCGGCCAAACCGAAGACCACTCGTTGGTACCCTCCCCCAAGGAGCACAAGAACATCCAACAAGCACGAATAGCATTCGAGGGTACCCTCCCCCCCCAACAGGTCTCGATCTTGTGCAGTGCGGGCGCGGCCGCAAGAAACCCTCGCAAGGAACCCAGCCCTGCAACCCGCAGCGCGAGATGCAGGTGGGCGGGAGCCCAGGAGCACCCTGAACGCAGCAGCTCCTCCAACGGCCACGGGAAGCCGCCGCGCGGCGCGCGGAGCGAAGCAACCCCTGGGTACCCTGACGAGAAGTACTCGGCTTCTTGGAGACCGTTTTTCTTTAATCGGCGATAACCTGGGTTATCGGGGGGGGGAGGAGGAGGAGGAGGAGGAGGAGGAGGAGGAGGAGGAGGAGGAGGAGGAGGAGAGGAGGAGGAGAGGGGGAGGAGGGAGGAGGAGGAGGAGAAGGAGAAGGAGGAGGAGGAGGAGAAGGAGGAGAAGGAGATGGAAGAGGAAGAGGAGGAGGAGGAGGAGGAGAGGAGGAGCAGGAGGAGGGAGGAGGAGGGGGACGGCCATAACATAACCTTCGCGCTGTGGGCAGCCCTGCATATGCCCGCGCCACCCCACCCCGGACGTGCACAACCAACAAGGTGAGGGTATCCTGGGGGGGGGGTGAGGGGGGGGGCAAGCCCGGGTTATCGCCGGACCCTAAAAAAAAACAATCTCTTGCTGCGCGCCCACTCTGTACCTCACCCTTTTGCAGTTGCCCTTCTGCAGTCGCTGGCAGGGGCCCCGCTTGCTGTCCATCTCGCATCAAGGAGGGAGGGAGGGAGGGAGGGAGGGAGGGAGGGAGGGAGGAGGGAGGGAGGAGGAGGAGTAAGAGGAGGAGGAGGAGGAGGAGGAGGAGGAGGAGGAGGAGAGGAGAGGAGGAAGGGAGGGAGGGAAGAATGGGATGGGGTGGGGCATCTAAGAGGACACCTGCGATCGCTCCCCCCGAGGCGGGGGGGGAGCCTCAGTGATGAAGGTGGCGTTGTGCGCCGCGATGGTCTGAGAGGCGGTCCTGAAGTGCTCCTGGACGGGCACCATTGGACGGGTCGGGGGGGCGATTTCTGTAGGGTTTAGGATAGATGCTCAAACCTCCTCCTCCTCCTCCTCCTCCTCCTCCAACTCTTCATGCGCCCCATTCTCCTCTGACTCCTCGTCCTCGTCCTCGCCCCTCTTCCACATCCCCCTTCCCCCACTCCTCCCCTTCTTCTCACCGCGTCCCTCCTCATCTTCATCGTCCTTCTCCTCCTCCTCCTCCTCCTCCTCCTCCTCGTCCGTCTTGTCCTCAAACTCCTCCTCCTCCTCCTCCTCCTCCTCCTCCTCATCTCCTGCTCCTCCTCCTCCTCCTCCTCCTCCTCCTCCTCCTCGTCCTCCTCCTCCTCCTCCTCCGTCCCCTTCTTCCGACCCCTGGCGCCCGCCCACGCCGCGCTCCCGGACGTCGTTCACCACGTTACCCACCGACTGCCGCATGGCGGCGACGGACAAGTTGGCGTCGTTCACCATGCTGCGGGACGAAAAGGACGTGGGAAGAGGAGCAGGAGTGGGAGGCGGAGGGGGAGGACGAGAAGGACCAGTGCAAACCAGAGACTCATCAACGATGTTGGAATCAACCCTCCCTTCAAATTCCCTCTTCATAGGCCCCTACAAGGGTTAATTTCCCTGGAGGGAACTTCCTCGTTGGGAGGCACCCGTTTGGAGACCCCGAAGCATGCCAAAACACAATTCTTGGGACTCCAACACCGCGAGCGACCTGCCTATTGCGACTGGGCAATCCTGAATCGTGCCAGAAGCCATTCCTGAGACTTCAACACCGCCGCGAATCAACCTAAATGTTGCACCCTGACAATATTGGGCCCTTCCAAAACACCACTTGTGGTGCGTTGATAATGGGAATTCGCCAAAAGCAATGTTTCAAAACGAATGTGTGCGACGCAAACGCACGAGCCACATGTTGAAAATCGCCCGCCCTGAATCCGTGAAACGATTGCAGTGTGTTAAAAACTAATGTGCGCGGCGCTAAGGCGAGAGCCACATGTTGAAAACCGCCCGCCCTCAATACGTGAAACGGTTGCAAATCGTGCAAACTGTTTGCTGTGGACCGCTGCCCGTCAAGCTTCCGAAGAGATTGCCAAGCAAGTGTAAACTGTTAATTACAAGTCGGTAGGCGTATCGACCGTGCTCCCCCAATCAAGACACTTCTTTTCAGGGGGGGTGCATTGCCTGGACCTCCCCAACGCCTCACAATTGTGTGCCGTGAGGGCCGCCAGGCCATTCGAGGCGACTCGGCACCCCATGCGCAAATCGCGAGGCTTAGCTTCCGCCCAGCATCCGCACAGCCCACAGGAAGGCGAAACGGCCTTTGCTCCATGCAGCGTGGCTGTCATGCGCCCTGTGCCCGTGGACGTATGGTGGGGGCCCTGGGACACACAAATAAACACACACACACACACACAAATAACAGGATTCCCCGCATGTTTGTCTTCCCCCCCACGTCCCATAGTTTCCCATATTGTCCTGGGGATCGACGATTAATTGTGTCCGTGTGTTCTGTGTTTCCCTCCTGAACGTAGGCAGGGACAGGCACACGTCGAGGAGGGTCGGTCATCTCAGGTCTGCACAAAAAAAGGTCACCATCGAGTGGTGCTTTGACGACCTGCGAGCCCCCCGCTCGCCGCCCTCTAGCCCGCCTTGGACGCTCAGGCGCGGGAGGCGGACTTTGCAAAAAGGGCCGCACACAGCGAGCGAACCGGTCGGAACAGCAGGCGAGCGGCGGGTTGCAGCAGCTTGTTGCACGCTGTGCACCTACATGTGTCCTTGGCCACAGGCTCGAAAGTATGGCTGGAAGCTTCGAGAAGTGCAATCACAACCTGCTGCCTGCGGACCACTCGCGAGCGCCAGGTACGATGCACCATTGGGGCCCCTGGCTCGTTCCAAGGATGGAAGCATGAATTACGTCGCAAGATGAGGAAAACAGTTTTTCAAAATCAGCAATTTCACGAGCCACGTCGGCCGGGACTTGGGCGCTCACCGACCGCGCCGTGGCCAGACCATCCGCGATCGCATTGATGAAAAGATGATGCTGCACCAAAGAAGCTGCCAGACAAGCAAGCTTCGCATTATCATCGGCACGATGGCGATGCGTGTAAACTAATTCAGACATGCCAGACCGCGAGTCGAGCAGCTGTCAGAGCTCCCGCCACAGATCAGCACTCTGCAACCGAAGGGTGTGATGACGTCCCTTCTGAAAGGCGCTCAGGTGATTGATGAGGTCGGTGACCGCCGTCACGTCCTGATTACGTCCCAAGCGACGCACCACATCCACAATGGCAGCCAACGCTGCGCGCGGCACTGTCTGACGTTGATTGTCCAGCAATCCGTGCGCCCCACAATCCCAACCAAGATCAGCAACGATGCGCATGCGCGCGAAGCCAAAAGACACCCGGCGCAGGATGTGGCCGGTGGCATGAGGCCATCCAGAACCATCGCCGCCGAAAATTCCTTCCAGAAAAAGGCCATCATAGCATCGGAAGAACTCAAACGCCCGATCCTCTGGACATCCGGGAAGAAGCAACCATTCTTTGGGAATGAGACCACGACACAAAAGCTAGGGTGTTGACCTGTGCAGTCAAGGGCCTGCTGGCAAAGCTCATTGCTCTTGGAAATGTGCTGACAAGAGGAGGTGGCGTGACATGAGCAACTCCAACAAACAGGACAAGACGAGTCAACAGATGACCGACAAAACTGGCACAGAGGATCAGGAACAATCTTAGATGAGTCATTGCGCTCCTCTGGTTAATAACCGCCGCATGCGACTAGCCGAATCATGCGGGACAGCACCAAATCACCGTCTCTCGCTACGCGCCGAATGAGTCTCGGCACGTGCGTCCATTCGACGCCATTCTCCGCACCGCCTCCGTCATGAAAGGCCGCGGCAGCGCGCCGATGTTTAGCGTCAAGATGGGCATCGAAGGCCTCGAGGAGCGCGGTCACACGACCCTCGTCCGAGCCCACCATCCGCAAAACTTCCCTGTTGGGCTCATGCACCTCAGTCGGCGAAGGGCACTGCCAGCCGAGAGAGATATCAGCGTGGCTTGGGAAGCTCTCTTTGGACCTCGAACGAATCCCAATCCACGTCGCACGAGTTCAAGAGACTTATCCCAAGAAGTCCGGATGCGGTCAAACAGAGGACCCCCCCAGCCATGTACCGCGGGCTGACGAGCCTCCGTACATGAACCTTGGCAAGGTCACATTTGAAAACCGCCCGCCCTCAATCCGTGAAACTCTTGCAATGTTTGAAATCGAATGCGTGCGGCGCTAAGGCGAGAGCCACATTTTGAAAACCACCCGCCCTCCATTTGTGAAACTGTTGCCAATGTTGAAGCTTCAGGGTCAGAAATGGTGAGGAGGTCTCAGGCGAAACGCCTGGCCCGCCCTTGCGACCAGCCTCGGGGTGCGACAAAGAGGCGTTATTTTTCACGAGAGAGGAATTGAGGATGAGGGAAGGACGAGGAGGACGAAGAGGAGGACGATGAGCAGGTGGGAGAGGAGGACGAGGACGATAAGGACGAGAAGGACGAGGATGACGACAAAGTGGAGGAGCAAAAGGAGGACGAGGAGGTTGAGGAGGTCGAGGACGAGCTCACCATGCTTCGTGGTAGCGCGGGCGTTAGGATCCCTGACGCCGACGTCAAGGCCAATACCGAGACCGACGCCACCATCGACGCCGCTGCCGACGGGGGACGACGACGCCGCCGACGCCGAAGCCGACGCTGAGACTGCCGCCGACGCCGCCGCCAGAGACGGACGGCGCTCATCGGCGCCGACGCCGACGACGACCTCAAAAGGTTGCCCAATGCCGACCGACCTCCAGAGGTCGCTGACGACGCCGACCACAAAAGGTCTGCAAAAGACGCCGACCGACGCCGACGCCGAAGACGGACGCCCCTGAAAACAACCCATGCTTTAATCCGTTTTCGGCCTCCAGGGTCCCTCAATCGGGGATCTCCTGACCCGGGTCAAGCCAGACCCGTGTCGGTCAGGCCTTGCAGGATCCTGCAAGATCCTGCACCCAAACCGGGGTCAATGCGAAGGATCCTGTCAGATCCTGCAGCATCCTGCATCCAAACCCAGGTCAATGCGCCCATCGCCCTACAGGATCCTGCAAGATCGGGCGCTCTGGCTGACCCCCGGTTGCGTTGACCCCGTCTCAAGGCTCCCGACTCGTTTGAAGGGGACCTGGGACACACAAATAAATACACACAAATTAAAAGGTTCCCCATATTTCCCCATATTTTCTGGGTTTCTGTCTTCCCCCCCCATTTCCCATATTTCAGCATATTTTCTGGGAGTCGACGAATAATTCTGTATGTGTGTTTTTTCTCCTCCTGATCGTTGCCCTCGGATCCACGCCGGCTGCACGCAAGAGGTGCACGAGGGGCCGCTGCGGCGCGCCCGGCCGACTGCTGCGCGCGGCGCGGCGGCAGCGGCCTTCGCGCTTGGCTGGGAGGCAACAGCTGGGAGGTCTTTGTGGAATCGAGGGGTCTTTGTGGGATCGGCGACAGGGATAGAGCTCAAGGATGCAAGGCTTAGGTCGGGCCTGTCCCCCTACAGAGGGATGTTGGGCGAAAAATTAAAAATAGTCAAAGATGCTCAAAAAATGCTCAAACATGATTCCAAACAAAAATCGTCCCCATACTATGTTTTGACTGTTTAAAATCTTCCTCCTGTAGAGGGACAGGCCCGATTTAAGGATAGAGCTCAAGGATACAAGCCCCTTGGTACGGCGCGAAGGCCAGGAATGCGAGCACCCTCAGTAAGGACGACGAGCACCGAAGGACATCCTGAACGCCAGTTTTGATTCCAGCCCAGAACAGCGAGGGGCAACGATAGGGGGATAGGCATAAGGGGGGATGCATCGACCTGGAATCGGCGATACATCGCCGATAGATCGGCGATAGGCCCCCGATAGTGAAACCGCACCTTCCTGGGCGGGTTGGGGCTATCAGGCCCCTATCGGCGATCAATGGACGAGTGGGGGTCGATGCGTCCCCCCTTATGCCAATCCCCCCTTTTCGCTGCCCCTGAAATAGGCTCGAACCCCAACGGTAAGGAGCGGAATTAAACGGAATCATGGTGTAGCGGGCCGGTTCGCGACCACGGATACACCAGCGCAGAGGCTGGGCTGAAGTCAGGAGCTGCGTTCCAAGCAAACATTCGGCCCCCGCCCCGCGCGACCCCCAGCGATGGCCGGCGCGAGCTCGCCATCGCTCGGACGTTCATTCACCGCGCAGATGTTTTGGCCTCGTGCGCCTATTTTCTGCACGAGGCTGCAAGATGCTCTTCACCGAAAAATAAGCGGCGCGCCCAGGAGGGAGGTGAGAAGGGGCGGGCTTTGTTCCCCGAAACGCAGAAGCCTTCTCAGAAGGCCTTGCGGACTTCTGAGAAGTCCCGCCGCCCGCTGAGAAGGACTTCTCCTTCTCACTGCATATTGAAGGTTTAACGACTTCTGCCGTCCTTCGACTCGCGCTGGAGCGGCCGCGAGTTGCTCCATTTTTCCCTGGAGATCTCTGGGTCGACCTGGATCTACCCGGATGTATCTCGATTTGCCTGGATTCACCTGGATTTGCCTCGATGTGCCTGCCATCTGCCTGGATGTATCTGGCTCGATCCCAGCAAGTCGAATGGCGAACAGTCGACCAGCTTTTTGGGGTGGGAAGGGGGCCCGCCACACACGACCCGCACAGACGAGTGCAGAACTGCGCGTGTGACGGACAGCTGCCTCCGCGAGCGTCATTGGCAGCACACCGCATGTCGGGAACTGCCCCTGCGCGTCGCGTGTGACGGACAGCTGCCTCCGCGAGCGTCATTGGCAGCACACCGCATGTCGGGAACTGCCCCGCCCTCGCCCGCCGCCGAGACAGGACTGCACACGTCCGAGCGATGCCGAGCGAGGCGGCTGGCGCCGGCGGGCGCCTGGCGGCCTCGTGCCGCAGCACCTCGAGGGCGGCGGCCTCGGCTTTGCTGGACTGCAGCAGGGCGACCGCCTCCTTCGCACGGGGAGTCCGGTCGGGCATGTCCCCCTACGGGCGGATTGTGGACGTGTCTTGCTGGTTTCACGGGAAAGTGTCCCACGGATGCTCAAGCACATCGTCCCCAGGCTACTGCTTGACAGTTCCTGACTACAGTGCGGGCGCGGTCGCAAGAAACCCTCGCGAGAAACCCGACCTTGGAAACCCGCGCGCGAGGTGCACCTGAGGGGAAATCCGGAGCACCCTGACGCTCCTTCCCCGGCTGCGGGAAGTCACCGCGCGGCGCGCGGAGCGAAGAAACCCAGGGTACCCTGACGACAATCGTATGGTTTCTTGATGCGCGCCCCCACTGCTTTCCCCCTGTAGAGGGGCGAAGTCCGACTGAGAGGGAGAGCGGCTCGGCACCCCCCGCGACGGGCACGGCACCGGGCCGGGGGAGAAGATCGGCGGCGCGCCCCCGGGGGGGAAGTTGGCGGCGCGCACTCCTCCTCCTCCTCCTCCTCCTCCTCCCCTCCTCCTCCTCCTCCTCCTCCTCCCTCCTCCTCCTCCTCCTCCTCCTCCTCCTCTCTCTCCTCCTCCTCCTCTCCTTCCTCCTCCTCCTTCTCTCCTCCAGCTCCTCCCCCTCCTCCTCCTCCTCCTCCTCCCCTCCTCCTCCTCCTCCTCCTCCTCCTCCCTCCTCCTCCTCCTCCTCCCTCCTCCCCTGGCGCGGATGGCGCTGCGGCGATTGGCGGCGCGCAGGAGGGGGTGGAGGAAGGGGGGGGGACTTCTTCGAAGGAGGCTGCTTCTTAGAAGGCGATGGCCTCACATCTATAGATCAGGCCCGCGCCTTCTAAGAGGCAGGGGTGCTTCTGGGAAGCCCTCCCCCCTCCCCCCACCTCCCTCTGCGCATGGCAGAGGAAGGTCAGGGGGTAGGAAAGGGGTGTGGTGTAAAGGGGTGTGGTGCCAATGCTGGACCTGGCGAGGTCATGTATCGCAGATAGCATCGCCATTTCCACGGTTGGCACCACACCCCCTTATGTCACACCCCCTTTCCGACCTCTAGAGAGTGAAGGGAGAAGGGGCGGGCCTTCTTAGACGGCTCGAAAGTCCCGAGGCGGTAGCCTGCCTGGTGTTGCTGCTGCTGCCCCTCAACCTCCGCCCGATGAGGGCGTCGTCCAAAACTCGGGGCCCCCTTGGGCTCTTGACCGTCACAGCCCGGCGCAAGCGGATCTCCTAAGCATCGAGGGTGGTGCGAAGATCCAGCCTCGAGATGAAGTGTTGGTGCTGTAAGTCCTGTGGGGGTTCTATGTTTCCGCAGGTGCGGAGAGGAGAGGGCCTGGATTCGGCGGCGCGCCCCGGGGGGGAAGTGGGAAGGGGCGGGTTTTCTCAGAAGGCTCGGAAGTCCCCTGGCCGTCTGAGAAGTTGTCGGAGCCTTCCCCGAAGAAGCACAGAACAAATACTCCTTTCAGAAGGCGCGAGGGCTTCTGAGAAGTCCCGCCGCCCTCTGAGAAGGCCCTTTCCTTCTCGCTCCCCCCCCTCGCCCGCCGATGGGTGGCCCATGCCGGGGACCCTCTGCCCCAGGACTGCGGACCCAGCGGTCCAGACTTCGCAGGCGCTTTCCTGTCGCGGTCAACGCTCGGATCGACGACGCGTGAGGCCCGTGCGCAGCGCAGGTGTCAGCCTGGACGCCACGACGGAGGAGGAGGAGGAGGCGGAGGAGGAGGAGGAGGAGGAGGAGGAGGAGGAGGAGGAGGAGGAGGGGAGGAGGAGGAGGAGGGGAGGAGGAGTGGAGGAGGAGCAGAGGCAGAGGCCGCCTGCGGCGGCCGCCGCCCGCGGGCGGCCAGCACGGGCAGCCTCGTCATGCCGAATCGTCTGTCTCCCACGGCCTCGCCGTCCCTCGGCCTCTCGGCGTGAGGGCTGCGGGAATGCATGGCCGCGTTTCCCCGGCCGTTGCGGTGAGGTCTGCTCGGTGGCAACAACAGCGGGTCAGCGCCAGAGCCCTCCCTGAAGAGCTGCCCCAGGAGAGGGCACGAGCCCGGAGCTGCGCCTGCGGACGAGTTGGTCTCAGTCATAGCTAGCTACACTCCTCCTCCTCCTCATACTCCTCCTAGCCTACTCCTCCTCCCCTCCTCCTCCTCCTCCTCCTGCCCTCCTCTTCCTTCATTCTGTCTTATTCAGTAATTTTCTTCTATTATTCACAATAACACCAGCGCGGCCCCACGGTGCTGCTTCTGAAAATTCTTCACAACTTATCGTCTTCTGATCTTATTATTCGATTGTCTTAGTAGGATATTAGTCACGTTTAGTCTTACTTCATTCGTCTTCTTATCTTCTTTCTTCTATGATTCTAATACTATTTCATCTATTATTATTATTATTATTATTATTATTATTATTATTATTATTATTATTATTATTATTATTATTATTATTAGTATTATTATTATTATTATTATTACTATTATTATTATTATTATTATTATTATTAGTAGTATTATTATTAGTATTATTATTATTAGCATTATTATTATTATTATTGTTATTAGTATTATTAGTATTATTATTATTATTAATAATAATAATAGCATTAATATTATTATTATTATTATTATTAGTATTAATATTATTATTATTACTACTACTACTACTACTACTACTACTACTACTACTATTATTATTAGTAGTAGTAGTAGTAGTAGTAGTATTAGTATTATTATTATTAGTATTAGTATTAGTATTATTATTAGTATTAATATTATTATTATTATTAGTAGTAGTATTATGATTATTATTACTTATATTTTTATTATTAATAGTATTATTATTACTATTCCTCCTCCTACTCCTCCTCCTCCTCCTCCTCCGCCTCCGCCTCCGCCTCCGCCTCCGCCTCCCGCCTCGCCTCCGCCTCCTCCTCCTCCTCCCTCCTCCTTACCCTCATACTACTCCTCCTCCTCCTCGCCTCCTCCTCCGCCTCCTCCTCCTCCTCCTCCTCCTCCCCCACCTCACCCCCCTGGTTTACTTATGTCGAAGTCCCTATCGTCCTACTCCTTTCCTCCTCCTCCTCCTCCTCCTCCTCCTCCCTCATCCTCCTCTTCTCCTCCCTACTCCTCCTCTCCTCCCTCCTCCATCCCGACTCCTTCATCCTCCTCCTCCTCCTCCTCCTCTCATACTCGGCATACTCATCATCATCCTTTCATGCTGCTTATTATCCTCCCCCCCGCGGAGAAAGAATGCATGGCGCACGATAAGCTACCACCAACTTCCGGAGCTTGCGCGCGGACTCGATCAGGAACCCCTCCCTGGCACCGGGGAGTGAGCCAAGGGGCTCTCTTCTCTTCTCTCGGCGCCAGCGGCGTCCAGCGCCGATCCAAGATGTCAACGCGAAGCTCCGAACATCTCTGCGTATACGATGATGTTCGTATTCGCAGCCGATGTAGCGCGTCCTGGAGACTCGCGAAGGCCAGGTTCGTCTTCTTGAGCTCCCCCGTCACCTTCGCGAGCCCTGGCGCCCAGGGGTGGCCGAGGAGACGGGGGGGCAGGTAGGGCGCGCGGGGGAGGCACACGAGGCGAATTGCAGCGGGGAGAGGGGGGAGGCGGAGGACGGGGCGGAAGACGGGGTGGAGGAGAAGGGGGAAGGGGTGGCGAGGGAGAGGGTACAGGAGGAGGAGGAGGAGGAGGAGCGCACGCGCTTTTGGGAGGTCCAGAGTCCGCTGCCGCCGCCGACGCCCTACCCCAGGGCGGCAAGGGCGGAGGAGGAGGAGGAGGAGGAGGAGGGGCAGGAGGAGCAGGATGCATATATTTCCTGAGGCCAGAACGGATGATTCTCGCAGGGCAGCATGCAACTCGAATGCGACCGAACGCGAGCCAGCATCTTCGAGCTAGCTCCAATCTTGCCGCAGCTTACGTACTATATATACATCTAGACTGAATAGGCACGCAGTGGGATGGCTTAGGGCCTGAGAAAAAAACCGTTTGGGCCGAAGTGATGCGGCCAGGCGGGAACCATTAGCATTGCACGCTCTGTGACACTCCGCGGGCTCTGTTTCACAACGCTGCTACATGCATATATTTCCTGAGGCCAGAACGGATGATTCTCGCAGGGCAGCATGCAACTCGAATGCGACCGAACGCGAGCCAACATCTTCGAGCTAGCTCCAATCTTGCCAACAACCGCCACTATACGCGTTCTGGCGGTTGAGGCGGCCCCTTCTCCAAACGCGACTCATGAATCAGTTGCGACCAGCGCTGCAGCAAACGGGGCGGGTAGGGCTCGGCGACTTGTGTCCACAGGCGGCCTCCGGGAGCCTTACCCTCGAGAACTTGGTGTGGTCTCTTGGAAAAACACAGACGGCATTGGCACACTGAGCGGCGAGCGGCGACAACAATTCTCTTTTGTCGTCCCAGCACGCTAGGGTGGTCTCTTTCCGCCACGGCATTCCATATCTACAATAGACTGTGTGCGTGAGAGACGCATGGCGCAACAGACATGCCAGTCCGGGTTGCCTCCACAGCCCGGACCTACGCGGATTTTCCAAGGACACTGGCACTTGATGCCGGACGCAGGCTCTGATGATACGAATTGTGGTTCGCAGCAGCTGATTGCCTATCCGCACCTTTTCGGCGTCAACTTCTGAAAGGTTCGGGAGACCGCAGGGATACTGGCAGGAGCGCAGCGGGCCACCTGGAGAGCCCGGCATGCCTCGGCGTGCCCCTGAAAAACTTGCGCACGGTGTGCCAAGGTGGACCCATCTGGCCTGCGGCACAAGCTTTAGCACCGCACGAATGGATTTTTCCTTGCTCACGTCCTGTGAAGCACTATCTCTGATGTCCCAGGTGCGGGCCCTCCAGCCCCGCTGCTGCAGCGAGCCGAGAGCCCTCCTTTTCCTGAAAAAAGCTCCAAAACTAACGGCCTGGCACGTGCCCTAGGCTCACACGAAGTCACCCGAGGCCCACGTCCTGGAGCAGCCGCGCGAAGCCGTTGATGCGCCCGTCCTTCAGGGCGCCCTCGAGCAGTCGGTCGGCCTCGGCCAGCACCAGCTGCCGGCCGCGGTCGAGCGAGGCCAGGCGGCGCATCACCCTGGAGCCCTTCTCGTAGCGCCTGACGCTGAGGTCGGACGCCCAGCGGCCTCGGCGCTTGATGGCCTCCAGGCTCCTTGCCTTGGTGAGCCGATCGTGAGACGGCCCGGAGTGGCGAAGGATGCACGGCGTCAACTCCCAGCTCTCGAGCCCGACGAGCGCGGCTGCCTCCTTGAACATGGCATTGAAGGCCGCGCCCGACCACGGAAAGAGGAGCTCCATCGGCTGTGACTGGAAAGCGACCTGCTCCAGCAGGGGCCCGAGAAAAGACCTCGCGGGGCTGTCGAGCAGGATCGAGTCGTTGAAGCCCCTGGTCCTGGTGGACTGCAGCTCCTCCTCGGGCCGCAGCACTAGGGACGTGAAGCAGTAGTCCCCCCCGGCATGCGGTTGCGCCGGCACCACGTGGTCCGCCCTGAGGGTCAGCAGCTCCCCTGGGCGCAGGTAGGCGTCCGCCGCGAGCGCCGCGCCGAGGGCCGCGCGTCGCTGGCCGAGGTAGATCAGGGCCACCGCGATGGCTGCCACCGCCGCCCAAGGCGCGGGCGCCCGCGTCAGCGGCGGCACCGGCCTCCGCCAGCCCTGCAGCGCCCTCGCCACGCGGGGCAGCTTCAGCAGCCTGCCCGCGTGGTGCAGCCTTGGGTCGCGATGCCCTATCGCGGCCAGCAGCTTGGCCCCGCTGTTCGACGGCTCCCCCCGGCTGAACTGCAGCTCCATGTACTCCACCACGGCCTCCTCCAGCTCGACGTCGCTCGCCGTGGTGAGTCCGTGGGTCTTGCAGAAGACGTCGAACCGCTCCAGCCTCCTCGAGTAGTCCTGCCTCGTCTTCTGGGTGATGCTCTCCTGCTCCAGCGTCGTGAGTCCACCAGTCCCGACCGACCGCGCCCTCGCCGCCTCGATCGCTCGCGCGAACGCTGGCGGGGGAGGGCGGCCGCGGCGGGGCACACGGGATCGGCGAGACCTCGTCGATGAAAGCAGCCGCCGCTCGGTCGAGGATGCCTGGCCCGCTGCCGCTCTGACCACAGGGGCTGGGGCAGGCAGACGGCGGGGCGGCAGCCTGTGGCTCTCTGACGAGGCGCCGCTCCTCCGCAGCACCCTCTCGCGAGGGGGGCTGCCAAGCCCGCGCGCACCATCCCTCTCGGGAAGCGCTCGAGCAAGCCTCGGCGGCCTCTCCAGCGGGCCGGCGTCGCCAGGCGTCCAGCGCAGCAGCAGCCGCCTTCTCAGCAGGCGAGTCGAACCATCGGCTAGGCTCATCAGCTGGGTTGAGCTCGCTGGCCACCCAGCGCACGCTGGTGCGAGAGAAGGAGGCCAGCGACAAGGCGGCCCACTTTCTGAGCAGAACCAGCACCGGAAATGACACCGCTCGGCCCTTCTCGAGGCTCAGGATCATACCCATGTTGTCACACAGAAACAAATGGCGATGACGATGGTATCTAGCTTGACGACACTTACGCCTCCACCCGAACAGCACGGCCCTGAGCTCCTTAAGATGGACGGCCTCTCCCCTATGATATCTTCTTGCCTGGATGGTCCTCCACGAGCCCTCGCTGATGAACCCCTTGGGGATCTCCGGGAACTCCCGATTGATGCTGATGTCCACGTCCCCGTCGATGAGGTCTCCTAGGAAACCTGCTGGATAACCTGACTCCTCGCCCAAGTAGCCCTCAGCAGCGGCCCCAGCAGCCCCATGGGCCCCAGCCAGAGGTAGATCCCGAAGCACTTGACGACGAGGGGCACCACTGAGGCCTTCAGGAACCCGTAGAGGCAGAGCTGGGTGTACATGATGTAAACCTTGGGGGCCCATGGGGTCAGCACCTGGGAGCCCCGGCGGAGGAGGAGGTAGAGGTCGCTCGTGTAGACTCTCACCCGGGCGCTCGAGCAGAGCTGCCTCGCGCGGGCGCAAGGCTGACTGGATGCGAAAGCGCCAGCGCTCACTCCAGCGCCCGACCTCCCGCACGGCTGGCGGCTTCATGTCGGCCTCCTGCACCGCATAGCCGCGCAGCGTGGCATCGGAGCAGGCGACGCGCCCGGACCACGGCAGATCGAACTGGACGGCCAGCAGCGGCATGAGGTGCAGCGCGTTGGCTAGCTCCTGCCGCACCGAGGGCCAGAGCGGCACGGGCACCCTGTAGTGCTTCCGGGCGAAGTCGTAGGCCGCCCGGAAGACGCACAAAGCGGGGCGATTCAGCAGCATGGCATGCGTGAAGTGGCCGATCATCTGCTCGACCTCCCGGCCAGCCACGCGCCGGCGCCGCAGGAGCGCCTGGGTGCCCAGCCCGAGCCTCCAGCGCTTGGCCCGCGCCAGCCGCGCCCGCAGCTTGAGGCCGTCCAGCTCCAGGCCCAGCGCCTCCACGACCGTCTTGCTCTCCTCGACCTCGTGCAGTGGCAGCCCGGCCTCGGTCATCACCTTGGCTGCCTGCCTCCTCGCACCCCGGGTGGCGCCCGGTCGCGACGAGACGAAGATCTCGTTGTCCACGTAGACGACCCTCGGCACCTGAGGAGAGTCCACGCTCGGAGCGATCTGCCTGTCCACCAGCTCGCTCTCGATGCCACCGAGACCTCCCCGCCGCAGCAGCTCGCGGTGCGCCTGCTGCGTCCAGCGCATGGCCCACGCGAAGCCCATGGGCAGCACCCGCAGGCACGGGCAGACCCACGCCCCCTCTGAGACCGCGAGGCCGTCGACCACCATCACGCCCAGCTGCCTCGCTCTGAGCGGGCGCATGCCGAACCACGGCACCATGTAGTCCGGCGCGCGGAACTGGTAGAAGCAGTCCGCGATGTCCTGGATCGAGAACTCCAGCTAGGCGCCGTCCTCGACCTCCATGTTCACTAGCGCCGCGGTGGACGCCATGTGAATCGTCGGCGGCCGCTTCAGCGCCTGGTTGACAGCCCGAGCGTCCACAATGAGCCTCAGACGGCCCGACTTCTTCTTCACAAAGAAGACTCCCACTTCAAACTCGCGACGAGTCCGCAGCTCCACCATGTCGCGGGCCAGCAGGTCCTGCACGAACCGCTGGTACTCGTCTGTGTCGGATTGCAAGGTCTTATCCCAGTACACCTTGGTGGCGCCTGGGCGAACCTCCTCAGCGCGAAGCATCATCGAATTCCTACCGTCGATCACCTCCTGGCGGTCTGGCTCCGGCAGCACCTCCAGCAAGCTGACACAGCCCGCCGACTCAGGCCACGAAACCAAGCCGCGATCATACGGCGCAACCACAGTGGGGCCGTCGGGGCCATAGCCCAGACTACCCATGCCGAGCAACTCCACGAGGGCTGCCTCGGGGCTGGGGGCGTCGTCCGGCGGCTTGTCGTCCGACACGGCCTGCCCCCAGCATGGTCCCACAAAACACAAAAAACAAGCACACACTGTGTTGAAGATAAAAAGGGCCCAATGACAAATCAAAGGGAACACGGCAAAAAAATTGTGCCTCCGAATGACGGGCCTTCCGAGCAAAAAAAAAATAAAAAAAAAAAAAACTAAAAAAAAAAAAAAAAAAAAAAAAAAAAAAAAAAAAAAAAGCAAAAAAAAAAAAAAAAGTCGCCCTCCCCGTGCAAGTTGTTCAGGGCGGCGATGCAGTCGTTCACACGGCGGCCCACAGCAGACCTGCGGCCGATCCTCTGGGCGGAGCGACGCGGCAACGCCCGCGCGCCCCGAGCCGGCGGCACGGGCACCAAGGGCAAGGGCAGCATATCCCTCGGCACCATGCGCTCCAGCGGCCTGGTGGCACCAGCTGGGCACGGCCAACTCCCAGCCTCGAAGCCCATCATGACTTCTTCGGAGGAGCGCGCGCCAGAGCACGCTCCTCCGCAGCTTTGCGCTCCTCCTTCAAGATGGCCGAGTCCCGGGCCGCGGACTCCGCGACCCACTTCAGCAGCTCCGGGCTGATGATAGCCCCGCCCGTCCTCCTGGTGCGTCCCAGGTAGTAGTCCTGGGAGTCGAAATCCTTGATCGTCTCCTTCTTCTTCTTGACCTTGTGCTCCAGGAAATGCAGGTGCCTCGCGAGCGCCTCCATGCTCGCCAGGTTGGCCACGTCGACCTGGTCGTAGGTGCAAGCCAACTCCAAAATCTCCGACAACATCTCGTGGGCCACCACGCTATGCTCGTCGTCGTTGAGCTTGTTCTCGTGCTTCCACGTGGTGTGGCGCTGGACCGGGCCCCCGCTTTGCCTGGCAATCTCCTTCGCCACGTGCGAGGCAGTGCGGGGGCCCGACAGCGCCCAGTCCTCGAACTCACACTGCTCCGACGAGTCCGCCACACTCTTCAGATCCCGAAAGCGGCGGCCGGCCGCGTCCCGCTTGATGTCAAAGCACAACAAAAAACAAACAAAAACAAGAAAAAAAACAACGAGATACAAAACCACCGAAGACCAGAAAAAAGACAAAGGCAAACAGGCCCACGTGCAACCGCAAAAACACAAAAAACCAAAAGAAACAGAGACAAACAGACAGCCAACATAGACACAAACAAAAACAGCAACACACAAGAACAAGACCAACATGCGCGCGGGCGTCCTCGGCGGGTGGCGGCGCCCGCGTCCCCCCGACAGCGCCCGGCACCGCGGACGCCGCGAAGGTCCGCAAGGCCTCGTCCGCGGTCTCGCCCGGCGCCGGCCTGACCAGGACCGCCGACCTGCCGCGACGGCCCAGGTCGTAGAGCCCGTGCTGCCCGAACGCCACGAAGTCCTCCGACGGCGTGTCGAGCGAGTCCGGGAGCGAGTGCACCGCGCCCCGCCTGACGTCGCCCTCGGGGACCACGCAGACCCAGTCGGCCCGCTCGCCAGTCGAGCCGGAGCCCGCGGCGCCCGCCCCCGAGGGCGCGCCCCCGTCAGCCAAGGGCGGAGGCTCAGGCTCCTCGGCGAGCCCCCGCGCCGCGCGCAGCTCCACGGCCTGCTCCTCCGCCGCGTCGATCCACGACTGCAAGGCAGCGCCGCGCGGCCGCTCCGTGAAGCGGTAGACCGGCTGGCCCTCGGCTGCTCCAAGGCCGGCCGGCAAGCCGCCTCGCGGGCCCGCCTGACGGAAGTCGGCCACGCTGCGCGCGTCGATCTCCTCCTCGTACATGTCCTCGTCGGGGGTCAGCACCAGGTACTTCGCCCCGCCCAAAGACGCGAGGATCAGCCTCTCATGCCACGGTTCCTCTGCCTCCCCGTAGTCGAGGAACACTGCGTCCCCTGCCTTCAGGTTGAGCGCCCGACGCACCAGCGACTTGGCCGGCATGCTGAAGCGTTAGCTGCACTTGCACGGGCGCGTCCACGACGGGTGCCAGCTGCTCCTGCCGCTCGGCTCGCGAAGGCGCCGGCGCGGTCTTCCAGAGACCCCGCGGGCCAATCCGCACCGACACCAGGCACGCGCAGACGGTCACCTGCGCCAGCAGCACCGCGAGGGCGCCGAGCAGCGCACCCAGGCCCCCGGCGACGACCGCCGCGCCCAGCGGCACTGGCGCCCCCCAGACGCCGGTCTCGGAGAGGCAGGCGCCGGCGCTGGTCGACAGCGCCAGGGCACAAGGGGAGACCTGCAATCCGCTGCTGGCAGCCTCGAAGGTGGAGGCTTTGGAGAAGGTGGCCCAGCCGAAATCTCCCATGCGCCGCCCTGAGAAAAACCGCTTGGGCCGAAGTGATGCGGCCAGGCGGGAACCATTAGCATTGCACGCTCTGTGACACTCCGCGGGCTCCGGCTCACAACGCTGCTACAGGAGGAGGAGGAGGAGGAGGAGGAGGAGGAGGAGGAGGAGGGGAAGGAGGAGGAGGAGGAGGAGGAGGAGGGGGAGTTTATCCAGACGGGGCCGCATGCGTGCGCTGGCTACGCAAGCAGACCCAGGCGCAAGCCCGACACGAAAGGAATAAGCTCGGGCACCTCCCAAAGGGAGTGCCGCGCGAGGTCGGGTCAGGCGGCCACCCCTACTCGGCGCGATCGTCATCCTCCACGACCAAGCCCCCGAGGGTGGCGTCGATGACGAACTCGCCGAATGGGCGTGGCCTCAGCTGACCCTGGTGAGTCGGCAGCAGCGGCCGCCCAGTGCGAGGGTGGCGGCCCTCCCAGAGACGGTCCAAGCGCGGCCGTGTCTTGTGGTGCACTCCACCGTGGCAGGGTTGCGCCAGCAGCTGCGCATTCTCGCTCGAGTGCGCCCCGCAGCTGGCACAGAAGACGAACTGGCCTACATGCCGGACGCGGTGGCCTCCGCCTGGGGCACGCGCGGGCGCGTCGAAGGCCTCGCGGTGCCGTGCCACGCGAAAGCACCGCGCACACCTGACACCGCCCGTGGGCGCAGGCACAGGCACATGCACACCAGGGGGCGGCTCCGTGTCCGCCGAGAGGGCAGGCGTCGGCCCCCTCCTCTGCGCCCGCCGCAGCTGCCCTTGGCGGGGCGCCGACTGCGAGTTAGGGCCGACCGCCTGCAACGCCCTGGCCAGGAACTTGGCCTCAAACGTGACCAGCTTAAAGGAACGCTGCACACGCGCGCTAGCCTCGGCATCCGACGGATGCAGAGCAGCGCCCACACGAGCGCCAGCATCTGCGTGATGGTTCCCCCATCGCGCGACCCCACCCAGCTCCTGCTCATCGTCATGACGGCGGCGGGCGTGGCCCTTAACTTTCAGTACCTCCACAGTCCCCCCCAGGTCGTCCACCCGATCCCATATCAGAGACCACGCGTCGGCACCCTCGCACGTGGCGCCCGTGGTCTCGAGGCAGCCTCGCTGAAAACTCGTGACCACCCATTCACAGTCCGTGTGGTGGCGAAAGGGGCCGGGCGAGACATGCTCCTGCTGTGTGAAGTCCCGCTCCGCCACTTCCTGAACGTGTAGCCTGCCCGTGATGTCCTCGGCTGCTTGGTCAGGTACTAAACGGGTGGTGCCTTGTTCATGCAGGGACTGAAGTGCCTCACGGATGGTACAGTTGTCCAATCCAGCTACCTGATAGGCGGCAAGTACCTGGTTGGGGGGGGGGGCTACTAGGGCGAGCCCAGTTTCGCTGTCCCTGTGCTGCGACCATACCTGTTGGAGAACGTCAATCGGTTGCGGGGCTGCGGTGGGTTCACTGGGGATGTGGGGGTTGATGCTCGGTCTTGCCCTTCATGTCATTTATCCTGCTCCTTGCCGCTCCGCTAAAGCGCGCACGGCCCCTTCCAGGTCGCGTCTGTATTGGCGCTATCGGCTGAGATTCCCACTTTGTCATCAAGGTCCGTGGGTTGTTCTCTGCCGTCCTTGGCGCCCCCGTCCTTGCCCTGCGTCTTAGTCTGGTTTCCCGGTGGCCTGTTTGCTGGGTCCGTCTGTTTCGGCTCCTGCTCTGCAGTCGTGCCGGGCCCCTTCGCGTCCTGCTTCTGCCCTGTCGTTTTGTTTAGTCTGAAGGCTGGCGTTGTGGTGTAGCCCCCGTGGCCGCGCTGGCTCCTGCCTGCTGCCCATCGGTGCCCAGCCTCCTCTGTTGGGAAGTTGGGGGGGGGGGGGGGGCTGCCCCAGCTTCCTGCGAGGGTCGCTCGGCGGGGCCCCCCAGAGGCGGTTCTCCCCTGAGGTTGGGCCAGGCGGGGTCGACGGTCCCCAGCCTGCTGGGGCTGGGGCCGGGACTGCTACCGGCGGCCACGGAGAGTATTTCTTCAAGAACCACTTCGGTTAGGGGGGAGAAAGGGCTCGAAGGCCCGCCTGCGTCGGGGCTTCTGCCTGTTGCGTCTTGTAGGTGCGCGCGTGCGTCATCCGCCGTTAGGTCTGCGCTCTTTGATGTTATGTTTCTTCCGTTGGGGCCCCTTGTGCCGATGGGTGGGTGCCGCGCCCAGTACGACTTGAAGGGGGCGATCAGCCTGTGTGAAATTTACGCCCTTGTGAATACTTGTCGCAACTGCTTCTCGAGTTGCAGCGTGCGCGTGCCCCAAGATATGGCGCTTAGTACTGTCCTCCATTTTGCTTCGTCCGTGCATCCCAGCCCGTTCCATTGGGCGGGTGGGCCAAGGGTGCGGAGCGTCTCGGCCGCACTGCTGAGGAGTTGCTCCAATTGGCGCCTCATGCAAGGTGGCAGGTGTGCGTTCGCCCTGGGAGCATCGCCTCTTCCAAGCAGGTCTCCGGGCGGGGTTCGGGCGACGCTGTCTGGGGGTGGTCTTGGTCTACCCGCCTGCGCTTGCGGTACCCCTTCTGCCTGGACCTCGCCTGCTGGTTCCTGCTGGGCTCGGTTCCCCCCGTCGCCTTCGCCTGTCAGTACGTTTCCCCCCGTCTGGGGGGCAAGTGTCGCTGCCGTCGGGTATGTGATCCCTGTTTCTCTCCGCTGAAGGGCCGGGTGCCGTGGGCGATGCGCCTCGCGGGTTTCTGTGGGCTGCTGCATTTGTTGGTGCTGCGTTCCCGTCGGTATCTGCGCATGTGGTGGGGCCCGCGTTCGCGGGCTCTGCCGTCCTGCGTGCTCGGCCCCGCGGCGTCTATCCCCGCCTTCCTGGCTGGGGGGGCCTGTCGTTCCCGTACTTGGGGTGCCGCTCGCGTGGGCGCTTCCTGGGGATGCCGACTGCGTGGCGTTGCCCTCGCCGTTGCCTCCCCCTTCTCGATGTCTCGGGATGCTCGCTGGGGAATGGGACACTTGGCTGCCCGGGCGCACGGTCTGCGGCGTGCCCGTCTGTGCCGCGGGGGATGGGTTAGCCTGTCGACATGGGGGGCTGTTGGAAGGGGTCTGCGGGCCCTGGGGAGGCTCCCGGTCCTCCGCCTGCGGGCCGTCTTGCCCCCTGCCGCGTGTCCCTTGCGGCTGCTCTTGCCTGGTCCGCGTATTCCGAACTTTGGCCTCTCCCGTGGGGTCCACTTGATTGCTTCTGGGGGTCCTTCGTGGCCTGGGCGCTCTCCCTGGGTCGCGTCGCAATCTGTCCTGGCTGGCGGCCCTTCGGAGCCTCTCATCTAGAGCCTGGATACCTTCAAGCGTACCTGAGGCCATCCTGTGTGTTGTGTCACTGTCAACGTCTGCTCCTCTGCTCCCTGGGACCTCCAGCCAGGGGTGATGGGCAGTGTATGTGGGGTCTGGTTCTGGGGAGAGCCACTGCGCGAAGGGGAGCTGCCCGGCGGCCTCCTCCTTTATTCCGAGCTCCCTGATGAGCTGGCGGAGGTGGCCCCTGTCCAGCGTGGCAGGATCTGTCAGCTGAAACATCAAAATGGCTGCAAAGAGATCCCAATTGTATATTGTGATGGGTCTGCCCTCCTCCTGTCGCCGCTGCTCCAATACCAGTCTGGTTTGTCTACTTCTAGCCAGGTCGTGAGTGCTCTGCTCGTCAATGCATGCCTGGAACCGGCCGATCATGCCTTGTGCGCACGCGACAGCATCGCTTTCTGCTCTGACCAGTGTGCTTCCTGTCTGGGTCCTGAGTCGCATTTTGTGTGTGCGAGCACTTCCGCGAGGGGGGAATACGTTCTCGGGCGAGCTGGGCCTGGAAGTGGATCCACCGCAGCATGTCTTCTCGGAGGTATGATCGTGCTGTGGGGCTGGCTGGTGCCGATTCCTAGCTCGTCGGGAGTCGGGGGATGTGCCGGCGCAGCGTCCAGCTTTGCCAGGTGCACCGGTCCGTATAGCAGCTGAATGGAAACCCTTATCAGCGGGCGATCAGCGCCTCGGCTGGCGGCTCTCAGATCGGCCTCGGCCGGCAGGGCGATGGTGACCCACATGGGGGTAGACGTGTAGAGGTGGCCGTCCTCGCCGCAGGAGGTGACGGATATTGCCCCGCCGGTAGCCACCGCTGCTGAGAGGTGTTCCCCTGGGTGAAGTATGGTGCTGTAGTCCCGCAGGCCGTCCCTGCTCTCTGTGGTCTCCCTCCGGGTGGGGAGTCGTCCGCTCATGCTGCTGTCTACCTCGCGCAGCCATTCCTTGGGGATGGCTGGGGGGGGGGCTCTTACCAGGCTTGCTCTTTCCCTACTGTCAACTCCCTCTGGGAGCGGCCACGCCCTGGTATGTAAGCTGGCTCCTGCGGAGGCATTTGAGGCCGAGAACATCCGTAGCCTGGTGTGGCTGGGGATCCAAGGGTCAGGGCGCATTGGCCGTGGGTGGGGGGAGCCGACCTGTCTTCCTCGTTGGTCGAATGTTGTGATCTCCAATATCTGTGGCTGCACCGCTCTTCTGGGGGCCTGTCGCACCGTTTCCTCGGCTATGGCTTCCCCTGGGGGTTCCCGTGTCACCCCTGATTTGTTCTCTTGAGGGGGTGGCTGGAAATATCCTGACCACTTGCGACCCCACTGTGATGCAGCTGGTCCCGCAAAAGGCTGCTGACATGCTGGCAGCAGCCCTGAGTCGGATCCTGACCTGCGTCATGTGGGTATACTCGCCTGCGTCTGGGAACCAGACAAACGCCGAGGAGACCTGCTCAACTGCTCCAGTACCTACTGTGGCCTCCACGGCATCCATGATCTCTTGTCGACTGGTTTGCCCTAGGTCCGCGAGGTTCCATCTAAGGTGGTGGCCTTCCTCTGGGTCGGTGAGTCTGATAAATGATGGGCCGCCGTCCCAGCTCCCCTCCATGAGGATCCTTCGGGGCCGCGTGCAGGTGAGCCGCTTGCCGATCCAAATACTCGGGG